AAGCATGATGCCCCCCTCCAAGGATTGGTCCCTCCTTGCAACAAATCCAAAGTATGTTAGATGAAGTTTTAGAATCCTTGCCTCCAAGGAGAAGCCTGGTCTCATCCTCTCTGGGACAAACCTGTTTGTTATACTAGCAGCCTATGGGGTGTGTGTGTGTGTGTGTGTGTGTGTGTGTGTCCAGCACCACAGCTAAAAAACACCAATTATACTTCTATCATCCCTAGTCATTGTCAAGCTTTGTTATGCATAATAAGTGATTGTAAAGACTATGGCCTAGATCAGGCGCACCTTAGATCCAGGCTAAAGTCTTTGCTCTTCAGTACTTTGGAGAGGGCTCAGACAGCAGACTTCCCCAATGCAATTTGTCTTTTAATTTCTGGATGCTGATACCAAGAGTGTTGATTGTAGAGCCAAGCAAACTAAAGCTGTTTACAATCTCAATCACTTCACAATCTATCACGATGCTGCCAATTGGCCCAGGAGTGAGAACATTTGTTTTCTTGATGTTGAACTTCAATCCATATATCAGGTTGCCATGCTTGACCTTCTGCAGCAAGCACTTCAGATCCTCCTCAGGTTTAGCAAGCAGGGTTGTGTCATCTGCATAACAGAGTGTTGATGAGCCTTCCTCCAATCTTGATGCCACATTTCTCCTCATAGAGCCAGGCTCCAGGATAATCTGTTTTGCATATAGATTGAAAAGACATGGAGATAGGACAGACACATCCTTGGTGCACATCTTTCTTAATTTTGAACCATACTGTGTTTCCTTGCTCTGTTCTGACAACTGCCTCCTAGTCCAAGTAAAGGTTTCACATAAGCACAATCAAGTGTTCTGGGATTCCCATTCTTCCAAGAGTCAGCCACAGTTTGTTGTGATCCACACCTGGTAGCAAGGCTAAAATAACAATTACAGATTATAATCACACATTTTCTCTCTAAAAAGTTTCAAAGTTCAAACCTTTAAGAATTAAACAGAGAATTTTTAGGTAGCATACTATTACGAAAATTGTAAAATTATATTGTTTTTCCTATTTTACTACAGCTGTAGGATAGCATTTATCTTATGGATAATAAGAGGCGCAAGTGTAGACCAAGATCCTCCCAACGAAACAGGAATATAAGGTCGTCCTGTAGTATACAGAACTATGAAGTGTCAAGTGATTTTCCCCATCATGTACTCCTCCAGCATCACCTGCCTCTTCCTAGCGTCTCTCCTTGATAAAGGGACAGTGACATAAGATGAAGAAAACCCCAAGTTAATTCTGAAAAATAAGTCTCTCACTTCAGAAAAAAGTCATATACTCTTTGCTATTCTCTCTTTTGTATCATCACATACTTCTTTCTTGTAATCAATTGTAGTGTTACTGCTTAACCATCTCATGTTCTTGTTCATGTGCACTTGTCTTTTCCATTTTTATTTAAAATTATAATTTAATTTGCTCTTTGTTCTAATTTTATTATTAATAACAATATAATTATTGTCATGTTCTTAGTTGCCATCAAGTCATTCAATTCATGATGGCTTTATATACAGCAGAAAAGAACAACTGGTGTGCTGTCTTGTATTATAATTAATAGTCTTTTCACAATTGCCAGCACTGTCAAACAAGATTCTGTTGTGATCCATGGGTTCTTACTAACTTCTAAAAAAATATTATCATGAAATATACACAGAGCTAGAGTTAGAAAACAAAAAGGAAGAACTTCAACATCAAGAAAAAAAATATTTGCCACCGGACTAAGAAGAAACAGCTAATAGATAGAAACAAGATTGACATTGTCAATGATTTCGTTTTATATGGTCTACAAACAACATCCATAGTAATAGCAGTCAACTAATCAAAGGGCATGTTGCCTTGGGTAAATCTACTGTAAATTACCTCTTTAAAGTGCTAAAGAACAAAGATGTCATTTTAAAGACTGAGGTGAGTCTGACCCACGCTGGCATGTTTATTGTATGGTATTGTACTGTATGATGAGGAAGACTGAAGAACTGACATCTTTAAATTATGGTGTTAGCTATGAATACTGAATATGCTGTGTACTGCCAGAGGAACTTAATAAATCTGTCTTAGAGGAAGTACAACCAGGATGCTCCTTAGAGTCAAGAATTATGACACTTCATTTCATGTACTTTGGTCATGTTGTCAGGAGTAGAGGTCCCTGAAAAAATGTATATCATCCTAGGAAAAGAAGAGGGGCATCAAAAGAGAGGAAGACCCTCAGTGAGAGGGATTGATACAGTGACTACAACAATAAGGTTGAATATGGTAAAAATTTTAAGATGGAACCGGAAAGGGCAAAGCTTTGATGCGTTGTCCATAGGATCTGTGAGCGCAGTGAACTCAAAGGCATATATCAACAATTTTTGTAATGAGGTTACTAGGTGTTTATTCTTAGTGTATGACTTGGGAAGCGCCACTGAATCTTTTCCACCATAAGTAATACTGCTGATCCTTGAAATAATACTGGCTTCACTTTCACTATCACAACAGCCTTAAAGTATAACATACAACAACCTTACAGGTACGTGTAAGCATACTAGACCATGGTATGCTTACTTCCTTACTTATTCTCCATTAGTCTTATACAAATTCAATATGCTATTCAACAGTCATATTAAAAATTCATTTAGTGTCTAATTCATGCCAGAATTTTCTGGAGTTGATGTTATAAGAGCCAAAAGCAATTAATGATCAATACTTTTCTTATTTCCACAGATTCGAAATGTGGCAGCCAATTTGTGTGTAGACAGCAAACATGGAGCCACTGGAACAGAGCTGAGGTTAGACATCTGTGTCAAGGATGGTTCTGAAAGAACATGGTCTCACGAGCAGGTATGTAAGCTTCAAGAAACCTTAGGGTTGGAGGAAGTAGGAATGGAGGAAAGTAGTGGCAACAAATTCCTAGATGAGGTGTCCAGGGTCCTGGGTGTGGGCCTGGTTCTGACACTAACCAATTTGTAAGTAAAGGTATTGTTTAACTTCTCTGTTTCTGTTTCTAATCCAATCATGAAACACTATATTTTTAAAAATGCTTCCAACAGTAGAAAGGATGGTAGATGTCTTGAATGAGATGTTGGCAATATTTCCTTTCCTGGAGTAACAGTCTGATAATTTTTAAAGCATGGAAACCCTTTAGGGTGCTAAGTAACATGCCCAAATTATTTAATGATTTTAAATAAAAGACTTTGGTGTTCTCTAAGTGTTCAGAATTTTATCCAAGCTTACATTCCCCTCAGGCTGAATATGTAAAGGAATATTTTATTTACACGTGTTGCTGTTACTGTTGTAGGTCTTAAGAAAAACCTGAAGGCACCAATACGAGTACTGTGTGGTATTTTAAGAGTGTCTATGGCTTAAATAACATAACTCAGTTTGTTAAGTTAGAAGTAATCTCAACCTCACTTTGAAATTTAAAAGTCATTGAAAGGGACTTTTCTTACTCTTTGTCACGGGTGAAAGAAAAAGAGGTAGTGCATAGAATTGTGTCTACTACAGCCAGAAACAGATTGTGGAACAGACCACCATTTACAATGTGCAAGTTAAAACTTGAGGTTGAAGAAAATCAAAACAAGCACACAAGAACCAAAATACTATCTTAAGTCCATACCAACTGAATTTCAGAATCATCTTAAGAACAGCCTTGAAGCATTGAATAGCAAGGATTGAAGACCAGAGGAGTTGTAGGATGACAGCAAGAACGTCATTCATGAAGAGAGCAAAAGGTGGGGGCGGGGGTGGGGGGAACAAACTGAAACGGAGATCAGAAGAGATTCTGAAGCCAAAACAAAAGGAAAATATACAGAACTAAAAGAACTGACTGAAAATTTCGAAAGGCAACTCTAGAAGACAAAGCCAAGTATTATGATGGAATGTGCAGAGAGTTGGAATTGGAGAATAAAAATGTAGGAACTTGCTGGACACTTCTCAAACTGAAAATGAAAACTTAAAAAATGAAAATGTTAAGCCAAAACTGTTTAAAAGGAATGTGTTATTGTTAAGTGTCATTGAGTCGTAGACAACTCATAGCAATGAAAGACCTGAACACTTGTATAACTTGAATAACTTTCATCTTTCTCAAAGTTCATAGAGTTTCCAGAAGCAAGCTATTTAGGAAATGATGCCGCTCCTGCTTCCAAGCTTGTTTTAATTGGGGAGCTCCACCAAACACTGTCCACCATAAGTAACCATTATTGCATTTGACACATCACTGTCACAGTGTTTAGCATCACAGCAACCATGAGTTACCTCTGTACAGCAAACGGACAGACCAATGCTATACTACTTAGAAGAATATTTGACCAAAACAAAAAGGAATATATGATTACATATTATTTTCATGACAAGAGTCCAGAATAAGAGCTGCATAGTAAAGTGGACTTGGTTGGGGGAAGAATTGCATAACAATGAAAGATTTTTTTTTCTTTTTCCTGTCAAAGACATATGTGAACTGCAGGGTGGGGTGGGCAGGGAGGAAAATGTGTAACAATGAATAAATGGAAATCCAAAGTCTAAAAAAAAAACACACACACAAAAAAAACACAAACCCAAAGCCCAAAACCCAAAACCATAAAAAACTTTAAGCCTTGAGTTCAATATTGAAGGATGGTATGGGCAAGATGTTGAATGATCCAGGAAACATCAAGAGAACTTAGAGGGAATACACAGAGTCACTCTACCAAAAAGAACTGACTGACACTGAAAAATTTCAGGAAGTATATGAACCAGAGCCAATGGTACTGAAGGAAGAAGCTAAAGTCACACTGAAGGCATTGACAAAAATAAGGCTCCAGGAATTGATAGGACACTGATTGACATGTTTCAACTAATAACAGATGCAACCATGCCCGTGCTCATCAGTCTATTCTAGGAAACTTGGAAGACAGCGACCTACCCAAGTGACTGAAAGAGATCCATATTTGGTCCCATTCCCAACAGAATGTGGTCATTATCAAACAATACTATTAATATCACAAGCAAGCAAAATGAAAAAAATGGCCAGAAAAATACATAGATAGGGAACTACTAGAAGTTCAAGCAGGATTTAGAAGAGGTCTGGTGCCAGAAATGTCATTGCTGATGTCAGATGGATCTAACTGAAAGTAAAGAATACCAGAATAATGTGTGATTATGCTTTATTGACTATGGAAAGACATTTGACTGTGCGGATCATAACAAATCATGGCTAATATTGAGAAGAATCCCAGAGCACTTAATTGTGCTCATGTGAAACCTATACCTAGAGGAAAAGGCTCTTGTGAGAACAGAGCAAGGGTTAAAATTAAGAGAAGCATGCATCAGTGTTTTATCCTCTCTCCATACCTATTTAATCAGTATGCTGAGCAAATTATTTGAGAAGTTGGACTCTGTGAAGAGGAATGTGACATCATGACCAGAGGAAGACTCATTAATATCCTTTGTTATGCAGATAACAACCTTGCTTGCTGAAAGAGAGAACGGCTTGAAGCACTTGTTGCAAAAGATCAAGGAAGGCAGCCTTCAGTATGGATTGTATCTCAACATCAAGAAAACCAAAATTCTTAACATTGAACCTGCAAGCAACATCATGATAGATGGATAAAAGATTGAAGTTTTCAATTCTTTTGTCTTACTTGGATCTACAATTAATACACTTGGTATTAGAAGTCAGGATATCAGGAGACACATTGCACTGAGAAAGTCTGCAGTCAAGGACTTCTCCAAATTATTGAGGTACAACTGTTTGAAGACTAAGGTGTGCCTCAGGCTATGGTCTTTTCAATCACTTACTATGAATCTGAGAGGTGCATAACAAATAATAAGGAAAACAGAAAGAGGATTGATGCCTTTGAACTGTGGGTTTTGGAGAAGAATACTGAATATCTCTTTAATTTCCAAAAGAACAAACAAATGTGTCCTGAGAAAGAGCAGTCAGAGTGCTCCTTGCAGGTAAAGATGATAAAGCTTCATCTCACCTACTCTGGGCAAGTTCCTAGTGAGACTATTCCTTAGAGAAGGACATCATGCCTGAAAAGGTGGAGAGTCAGCAAAAGAAAGGAAGATCCTCAACTAGATGGATTAACACAGTGACAACTGCAACACGCTCGCATGTGTCAAAAAGTGTGAGAATGGCACAGGACAGCACAGGGCTCAGATCCATTGTTCATAAGGTCACTATGGGTCATACCGACTCGATGGCACCTAACAACAACTTCTCAATGTTTAAATTGTAAAACCATCCAGACAAAACTTACAGGAAAATGTTAAAATAGAGATCTGTATATTCATCACATAAACTTAGCAAGCATCAACAGATCTTTTTAATATATTTTTAAAGCAATAAAAACTAGCAGACACAGCTCAAGCCATTTCCAATAAAGAGTGACTGGATATTATAGCTGAATTACTCAAGTATCCATCAAGTTCATTTTTACATTTGAAATATTTTAGGTTAAAGACCCTTTGAGCACAGCCTAAAGAGTTGTTCAGATGCTCCAAGATTCAGTAGGCCAGTATCTCGCTCTCTTCCTTGACTGCATTACAATGCAGAGCAGCATTGTATTAGGAAACAGCTGAAAGAATGAATATAATCAGCACAGCTGCAGAAGGTCAAGGACTCCAGTCTTCAATATGCATTGAAGCTCAACATCAAGAAAACAAAGATTCTAACCACTGAGCCAACTGGCAGTATCAGTATGGATGGTGAAGAGACTGAGATAGTTAACAGTTTTAGTTTACTTGGTTCCACAGTCAACACTCTTGGTAACAGCAGCCAGGAAATCAGGAGATGAATTGCATTGGCAAAGTCAGCTGTGAGAGACCTCTCAAGAGTACTGAAGAGCAACGATGTCAGGATGGATACTAAGATGCACCTGATCCAGGCTATAGTCTTTGCAATTTACGTGCTATGCATTGGAGAGTTGGACAGTGAATAGGGATGATAGAAATAGAATTGATGCCTTTAAGCTGTGGTGCTGGAGAAGAGTGTTGAATATACCATGGACTGCAAGGAGAACAAACAAGTTTGTCCTGGAGAGGGTGAAGCCAGAATGCTCCTTGGAGTCAAGGATTCTGAAGCTTCGTCTGACATATTTTGGGCATGTTGCAAGGAGGGACTGGTCTTTTGAGAGGGACATCATGTTTGGCAGAGTGGAGGGACGGCACAGGAGAGGAGGACCCTCGATGAGATGGATGGATTCTGTGAGTGGAGCGGTGGGAATGTGTTTGAGACAGCGAGGTTGGCACAGGATAGAATGGCATTTATGGCTCTTGGACATAGGGTCGCTATGAGTCACAAGTGACTGGATGGCACATAACAACAACAAATGAACAAAACACTGGCCTTACCTAACTAAAGATCCAGTGCATACACACTAATCCAACACCTTCAGTGTGCTGTATGGGGTAGTTGTTGTTCATAGGTGCCATGGAGTCAACTATGACTCACAGAAAACCAATGCACAACACATCAAACCTTGCCTTATTTTGGGCTGTTCTCATGAGCTCTTCTATTCAAGTTTATTGTTGCAGCTATGACGTCAATCTATCTCCATTTCATTGTGTGTCTTCCTCTCCTCTATTCTTACCCTCCACCTTTCCAAGCATGAATCTTTTTCCAGGGTCCAGCCCCTTATGAAAACCAGTAAAACTTGAAAGCATGCTCCTTTACCAGTACCGAATAAAAACATGCCCAAAGTGTAGGAGAGGAAGTCTCACCATTCTTGCTTCTAAGATGTACACTGACTGTTCTTCCAAGGTCTGTTTATCATTTGGTAGACCATGAGATATTCCTTATTCTTCACCAACACTTTAATTCAAATGTATTTATTCTTCTTTGGTCTTCTTTACTTATTATC